TACAAGGTATATTGATGATAGCTCAAATCTAACGAAGCTGTTAAAACTTCCAGATCAGCGGGTCAATCTTTAATACTGGAGACGTTCAGAAGAGTGCCACAAAATGGTGTAGGCATCCGTCGATTGGCCCAAGTGGCGATACCGCCGCCGGAGTCAACACCGCCCGCACCCCGTTCGCCTCGAGCTGTGGCATTGGCGTCCCCCGCGCCCGCACGACCTCCTACCGCCTGCTCCTCCACCAGCCAGTCCCTTGATAGACGCAAACTGCATTTGCCTCAAGTCACCTTCTCCAAGGAGGTCGGTAATGGTATTATTGTTTGAAATCAATTCTTCATACTGTAGATCTTCAAATCCTTTGAGTTCCACGTATAGAAGTACTCATCTGAAATTTACACTCACTTTACTGTAAAAATATTTAAAAGACCCCACTATCAATAATATAAACCTTTTCGTAAGAAATTTGTCATTTCACATGTTCAAAGTTCATGATTGACAGTCGCTGTCTTATCGTAGTTTTTGAAGTTTTCAACAATGTTACTGTTTGTACTTATCTTTTTTTAACTTTTTTTCTTTTGTATGTACCACGCATTTATGAAATATTTGTATGAACTTTTGGACTATTGAATTTAATGTTTCGAATTTGAATTCGTGCTAGTCATCTGTAGAGAAATTTTCAAATTAAAATTATTTTCGTGTAGAGATCAAAATTAAATGTGGTGCTAGTGTTCTTAGTAGATTTCTTTATTAGTAATTTAAATCTAGTATTTATTGGTTTTTGTGTGGACATTTTGTTTTAGTTTGAATTAAGTTCTGTTTTGTACAGTTTTAGCGTACCATGTTAATTATTTTTAAGGTAATATTATAGACTTCGTAATACATTCCATTACGTATAGATTTATTTATATTCTTTTAATGTACAGTTTGTTTTTTTTTAATTTAATTACATTAAGTTCACAAATTATTCGCAAATGGGGAATTGTTACGTTTAAGAAAAACTCTCTCTTGTTATTTTATTTTGTTACTTTTTTTAATACTTTGTCACATACAGCGTGTGTTATTTTGTAAAAATATTTTTTTCTGATATAATTTTTCTTTAGTTTTAATTTTGTGTTGCTGTATAGTTTTTGTTTACTGAAACCGTTGGTTTCCACTGCCAAAACACTTGTACCAAAATATCACCATCTCTGATACAGAAAAGTAATGTGACAGAGACGACACTATTTGTACATGATTTTCGGTCGTGGAAACCCATAGTAATAATTATGATTTGTAATAAACATTTGAGTTTTTTTTTTAATCTGTTAACATTATCATTTTTTCTTTAATTTATGTTTCTCTAATTTATGTTTCTTATTTAAGTGCAAATAAATTTATTGCTTTTGATTATTTTCCGTTTTATTTCTTCTTTTTTTCTTTTTACGTTTTTTTTTTACTTTAAACTCAACACCATAGACCAATATTGAGTTTACTTCAGTTGTAGATTTACCAAAAATATCATAAACCACAATAGTATTAAAATTTCAATATGAAGTATAGTAGACTATACTGACTAATACACAATGTAACGATGAATCGTTTACAAAATAAAATACAATTCAACAAAAGGTAATATAAAAACTTTAAAAAATAGTCAGTATATAATCAACTTGAATATAAAGACCTATTAATATTAAAACTACAAGATAATACAATTACGCCAGAAGACCAATTTTGAAGCAATAATACTTAAAACTGGTTAAGGATACGGTCATCTAATCCCATGGTCTTAGGATCAACCTTTCGATTATTGTCGTGAAACATTTCTTAGCACAAACGTAATCAAAATTAAAACAACAAAAATCTTTTATTCATTAGTTATACGACACAGGTCTTTTAAGACTGTTACGCTTTATCAGACACCAGGGACATCAACTGATGGCAGAAAGCGAGCGCTCCTAGCGGTTGTTGCGCGGGAACAGCACTACGCGACCTGCCTACAGTTCGGTCTGGTGAGGTTTGTCTCACCACTGGCAGAGAGAGCTGACCTCATCGCTCCCAGCGACCACCAGCTGTTGTTTCAGAATATCGAAGAGGTGATTACAGAACTCCTTGTTATGTTATGAACTGCGTTGTTTCTTTACAATAACGATGATACGGTAAGGTAATAAAATAATTTATACGTTGATAATAATTATTTAGATAGAAATACTTGCATACGTTGGGATCTAAATGCAGAGCCATCTTAAATCGGGCGCACACCTTTTACTTAACTATCGCAAAACAGTTGTGCGATTGTCAATTGTTTTGCAGCCAATTCAACTGATTAATTTTGTGTGCGCACCTCCATATAAGCTCACATGAATCAATACGGACTAACCGGTTGTTAGATAGTTTAAATTCAGATGTGCGCACGTTCTTAGATAGATATTACTAAAAAGGTTTTAAACGTTACTACCATTTTTCTTTTTCCATTACAGATCTTCAGGTTATCGGAAGATATACTAGACCAAGTGGTGCAAGATGACGGAGAGATACAGACGTCGACGGTGGTCGCAGTGTATTTACAGAAGACCCCTGTGTTCCTTAACCTTTATAAGAAATATTGTTTAGGACTTAAACGAGCTGATTGTGTGTTGGTAAGGTTTAAACATTTATGGTGCTAAGAAAAAAGTGAGAGAAGGTGTGGATGGATTGTGTGAAAGAAGATATGCTGAAGGGAATGAATTTAGATGTGACGTCTGATAGAGATATAAGAAATAGGAAAGCAGTACATACTTTGCCAACCCAGGACTTAAATGTATAAGGGCAGGTTGATGACAACGGTGCCAAAAATAAGTGTTCTTAAGCAATTCTTAATATTTTAGGTAAAAAAATCAAAAGACCCAAGTGGTGCGTTTTCTCGTTTCTGCACGAGTCCTCCGATACCGAGGAGAAGGCCTGACATCACATCGCTGGTACACAAACCACTGGAACAGTTCAGAGAGCTATTGAGACTTATGCGCGCGGCCGCAAGCGCTAACGGTGCTGGACCCTACGATCAGCTGGAGAAGAAACAATTGCAAATAATCGTTGAGCAGTTACAGGTAATATCTTTATTGGTATACTTGTAAATGATTATCATTTAATCAAGCGATTGCTATTAAAACTGAATTGACACATGACTTAAATGCTAAGATTGTGTTAATGTAATTTCAGAGTGGTTATCAAGATGTCACCGCTGGTTCTGGATTGATGGGATTAGCTGGCGATGGAAAACCTTTGTTGTCTGTTGCTGATCTGGAGAGTAGACTGGTGTTCACTAGGTGTAAGGTAATGAAAATGAATAACCAGTTCAATCAGTCCTTTGGCCAAAGATGGCCTTGTTAATAGATGGGATTCTAAATAAAATTGTTGTTTCCAGCCATTTGTTTTAAGCACTGCGGGTAGACAGTGGATATTCGGCGGTGAGCTATCCCGGGTAGAGGGTAGAGCGGTCAGACCTTACTGGGCGCTACTGTTCAGCGATCTACTTTTGTTCGCCACCGTGTCCAGAGACCGAGTGCTATTTGTCACCGAAGAACCGGTATCATTAGGATCGGTGTCGGAAGCTCAATTCAATATTAGGAAAAAAGGTAATTGCAATTACTTTTTTTCAAATGTAAACATTTGACACTAATTACACTGGACGGTACATTCCCGTTCCATTACTGAAAAT